TGAGTTCAGTTCTTAATCATTCTTCAATTTCAGTTAAAAGATTACCTCCTCTATTAATAATCACCTAATAATCCCCAATGCTGTCCCCTCACCATCTCCTTTCCACTGGCTCCTGCCTCAGATCAAAAGTCATCTCTTCTTCCACTGAATCCCCAAAGCATTTCTCTTTTTTGCAACATATCACTTTCTTCCTTATGTTACAGTTATATTTTTTACACGCCTGTTTCCTTAAAAATCTTTCAAGCACTTAAAGGGCAAGGGTTGAACTCTTGCTCATCTTTACATTCCCTATGGCGTCTCAAATTTATGTTTAAGCTCCATTGCTAGAGTCTCCTAATGATGAACTCTGTGACCTTGAGCAAGTCATTTAACCTGTTTGAGTCAATTTGTTCATAAATCAAAAACATATTCTAATTTAACAGTCTTAATTTGAGACAGCTTAAATTACATATTCCTGGGACTGCACAAGAACACTTGAAAGGCACATACCAAATAAAGGTTTCTGCATAACCTCAACAAAGCCTACAATTATGGCAACACTAGCTGTTTCCACCGATAAGTTCCTGTAATTTATTTTCTGACTTACTTGGATCAATACAGAGTGGTGTGACTGTACCCTTTCTAGCTATCACTGTTACCTCAAGCATCAGTGACATAATCCACTCCTCAACTTTGAATTACTATAGCATTATATTTGTGTGTTTGGAGGGAATCATTCATTTATGTTCCATGAATATTTATTAAGTACTTATTATGTTCCATGAATATTTATTAAGTACCTATTATGTTCCATGAATATTTATTAAGTACCTATTAACCAGACATTTTTCCAGGTGATAGGTTCTCACATTAGTAAATAGAAGAGGGGAGGGGAAAGGAAAAAAGCTGGTGTAACTGTGGAAGATTTTTCCTATTTTAACCATTTTATACAATCTCTCATCTTATTAGTAGATCATGAAGGTTTTAGACCACCTATGTTAGGCTAAGACTCAAAGCAAACTCTTTCAGGTTAATGTTTCCTAAAAGCAAAAGAAAAATGCCTAGTTTTTCTCATTTGTCCAGGTAGTGCAGAGGAGTGAGTGCAAACTGCGTCCCCTCAGTCCTTCTAAAGGTAATACAATGGAAACATTTTGGTGGGTGTGAATCACTTAGACAAGCATTCTTCACTCAAAAGTAGAAACTGACCTTATTTGTTCCAGATGTTATACAGCTGCAGGGAAGTTAAAGCCAGTGGTCCTGTTTTCAGTGCAACCAAACTCTTATTGCATTGGGAATTTATTAACCAATGAACTCGTATTACTTGTTCTAAGGCCTGCACAATTTTCTTTTTTCCACTCTTAACATTCACAAACAGCTATGTTTCATAGGAACCATGCTTCAGAATTAATGAGTCTACATCTGTGTTGTACAAAGGAAACACATCCTGTTTACCAGTGTTTCCACTTTTCATTTATCTTGACCCTTTTAATTTTAAGCATAAAATATTTCAAAGAGAGTACTTGAAGGAGAGTTGAGTTGTGTTGTTCTTACTACATTTTATAGCACTTTAACTATGGAGTTATTAGAAGGGGTTCATCTTAGGAAGAATTCTCAGCAAAATTATTAAGAATACTGACTATAAAAATGTAACTTGTATCGTTGTTTGTAGTTCAAAAAACTTGACATATTAGCTTATTTCTTGACTCTCCTGCAGACCTGTAAGAGCTGCTATGTGGATGCATGAAATATAAAAGGATCATGGCTCTTTGACGAGGGTGAAAAAGCTAAGAAATCAGGTAGGTGATGTACATGCTACTTTTATATCTAGTCCATAAAAATGAAAATATATGTGCTATATTTTGTTTGACAACACTTGTGTTTGGGAACAGAGTACCAGATCTCTTGAGGTTATTGTGTTTTTATAGATAAGACTTTTTCAAATTGTGGTTCACGGCAATCTACAGCAGAATCACACTGGCCACTTATGAAAATATGTACTTCTGGGCCCAGTTGAGTCAGAATCTCTGTGAATCAGGTCTGAGCCTGTAGAAGGACTCCAGAGATCAGAAAACAATGATAACAACAACAACAATAGACTCTCATCTTCCAGTTGTGAACAGTAAAGCCTAGGGAGGTAAAGTGAATTTCTCAAGGCCATGCAGCCAGTTAATAGTAAAGTAAGGCCTAGAATTTTGTTTATTAATGCTGAGACCAACATTCTTTTCCAGTAAGTTTTTATCTTTAAAAAGATAAGCTTAAAATAAAATTTAAAGAAATAGAAGTACCCAAATATCATTGGATGTCTCACCCAATAATTCTTTACTTGTATCATTAATTGACCAAATCCTTGTTCATCCTCCAAGATTTTGGAAGTACCTTTCCTTCAGACTCATCATGAATCTTTTGAGTTATAAGTAAAATCTTCCAGGAAAAAAGAGGAAGATGTTATATTTCATGGATTGTTGACTAAGTCTTTGAAAGATAATGATTGATTACTTTGTAAATGCGTGTTTTAGTTAAAGTTATTTGAACCAGTCAAGCAGCAGTTTGGATTCAATAAAGATTCTTCAAAGACATAGACAAAAACTCTAATTCATGACATACATTCTTGATATATGTATATGGCATCAGTTAAAATAGAGCCCTAAAAGAGTCTGTGTGATATCATTCAAAACTGATTCAAAAATTTGTTTCATACATCTTAATGATGCTATAAATCAATTTATATCTTATGTACATAGTTTAGCCTTCAAAAAGGAAAAGACTCTGTGAATGCTATTTATTAAGTTTTCTGTAATTTGCCTCAAATGATAACATGTTGACACCCATCTATGATGAGTATAGAGGCACCACCAGAGAGAAGATGCACTCATAAACTTCTTCGCTATTCATAGATTCATAATAAATATGGCCCTACTGATGTTCAGGTCCAGTCCCTCATCTTACTAATGAGAAACCTGAGAACCAAAGAAAAAAAGAGTAACGTTCTTTTGAAGGAGATAGCGTTGTGTCAGAAACTGTCACCATGGTTGTTAACTCTAACTCTCCCCCTCCCCCAAGGGAATGTAAGCTGTGGGGAAGTGTTATCTTTGTCTCACAGGAAACCACCAGAAGAGAAAAACAGGAGGCCACCAGAACTGGTTAGAATGGGCCAAGTCTAAAATGGCTGACGATCTGATCTTCAGTAGACCTTGGGCCCCATCATACACTCATTGTAATACATAAGCATGCTAAGTGACATGCCTGCTGGTGGCCATAACAGGAAGTACCGCACCATAGAAGGAAAAAAAGGAGGTGGCAACCAGTTCCAGGAAGAACCCCGCCTATTCCCAGAAAGCCAATGCATATGCCTCCCTGTCATTAACCCTACCTTTAAAAATCTTGCCTTGATCACCCCCTGACTAGAAGTTGATTTGTGAACTAAGTTCCGGCTTCTCCATTCTCTGGCCATTGAATAAAGCTTGTGTTATTTCAGTCTCAGCATCAGTTTTGTTATTGCCTGTGCAAATCTGAACAGGAAAAGAAGCTCCCCTGCCAAGGCAGGGGTCTTCAGCCAGGCTAGGGCACAAGGGTGGGGGGGTTCCATAAGGCCAATCTAGTAACAGAACTGCTAGTTGTCTACCCAAACCTCTCTTCTCCCTTTTGGAGAACTTTTGTTTCTAGCAGGACATATGGCTACCTAAATAAAGATTACATTTCTCAGCCTTCCATGTAGCAAGATATGGCCGTGTGACTAAGCTCTTGCCATGGAACATAAGTGATCATGAGTGTGGTAGCTTTGGGGAAACTTCCTTACAAGGCAGTGGGGGCATGTTCTTTGTACCTACTCACCTTCTTCCATACATTCTGTTTAAAAGGTGGTTGTTTTGGCTGGAGATCTATGTTGGCCTAAGAGGATGAGGGCCACCTTGGCCCAGATGACAGTGTAGCTGCCACTCCAACTTTGGACAGCCACTATCTAGACTTACAAATGGGAGAGAAAGAAGTCTCTTTTCTTTTTAAGTCACCAGCTTGGGGTTTCTTGTGTTTGAAGCTGTATCTGATTCAGACAAGAATCTATTTCTTGCTACAAAATTTCCTTTATTCCTTTATTATTTTTTATTATTTATTTTTATTATTTCCTTTATTTTTTGAGCACATAATTACTAAGTACTTTTTATGAGCAAAGAACTACATTAAGTGGATATGAAACAAATATTTTTATTTTGAAAGACATTTTGAAAAGTTTTTAGATTAAAACTCCCCTTTACCTTCAGTCCATCCTTTACCTACCCCAGGCATATCACACAATTTCTATTCTTTTACTATGAAGAACTATTTCTCTTGACTTTGGATTTTAGACTGATACTGTCATGTGAGTAACATGTTTTCCAAAAGTTAGAAGAAAAACCCACCAAAGCAACCCAAGCACATACGACTTTTACGTTTCAACCTTCGCCCCCAGCTATATGACAAATCATGATTAAAAGTCATGATGTAAATGTAGTCTTTGAAAATATGTAAGATGTAAACATTTGTCTTTGAACAAATTCAAAATGTCATGGCACATGTTTTTAAAATATTTAAATCAAATGTATTTTCTAAGTTAATGCTCAGAAATGCACTAAACACAATACTATTTTCAGTGTTAGTCACATAAAAAAAGGTACGTATGTGAGGTGAGAGTCTCTCTTCCCTAAATGACTCATCTCCCCTTTCAGAGCAGAAAGTGACTGGACTCCCCAGAATCAGAGCAAACAGATTTGCTGTCACTGGCTCCCTTACCTAATTCTGCTGTCAGGCATGGAGAAATGTTCCCACATGCGAGTTCCATTTAAATTCCTCCCAAATTCTTCCTTGTTGATTTCTGATAATTTATTGTTTTGAAGTTTTTTTCTTTAAGGAGAGTAGATGCTCTAAGTTTCCACATATATTTTCACTTCTAAATTTAAAAGCTTAAGGTCAAATATTTAATAATTTTTGAATGATGGTAGAGATACAATAAAATTTGAGGAGATACCTAAGTTTAAAAGCAGACTTACCTTAGGGTCCACGTTGAGAATTTTTCTGTCTCTTTTGTATTTGAAAAGTAAGCCTTCTGGATTATCAGCAATCACTTGGTAGTTGGGAGTTGAATTCCAAACAGCAACATGGCTGTCCCAGTTGTAAAAACTATAGAAATAAATATTTATTAGGAATTAATATGCATAATGAATTAAATTGACAAATATATTTCAGAAAATATTTGGGGCAGTTCAGCTTCAAAATAAATGGATAGGATCACAGTCTATACAACCATGTAGACCACATGTGTGATTAAAATTCTTGCAGAAAAGATTAGACTGGGTTATTTTCAAATCATTTAGATACATATTTATGACTGTTTTGCATGATTTCCTGGTTTGGACACTCTAGGACCTAGGACCTATTCCAGTATCATATTCCCAGGAAGTCAAGAAGAAAATTGACGCAATTTAAGGCTATTTCTTCTAGTTCAGACTCTTCAGGATATTGAGTATTCAGGGTATTAAGAGACTGTTTACTGGAAGGAAAGGCAGGCTAAGTCACCTCTTTTCATTCAAAACAAATTAATTCATTTCTTTAAGGTTCTATTTTTCAATAATATGTTTCCCAGGCAGTAAGAAAACTACTTGTGTTTGAGAGGTTACCAGAGGCCAGGCACGATGTGATGTATTCTAAAACAACACCCATACGAATTTGCTCTTATTTCACAGACAAGGCAAGGATACTACGGGAGTTCAACTAGCATAGTTAACACCCTGCAACTAATACATCATAGGGTTAATATTTCAACCCAGATCTGTGTGTTTCAAAGCATATGCATGTTCTTTCTACTGTTCAACATTGCCTGTTCAATCCCTTCTTTCTACTGTTCAACATTGCCTGTTCAATCCCTTCTTTGGAGGTTCGTCTATGGAAACTTTCTATTTTTTTCCATCTCTCATTTTATACTTAGTTGTCAAAAACAAATATAATGCTGTTATATGCATTGGAAGTATCCTCAATACACTTATTTTTACATATCTTATTCCCATTAACACATTTCTAATATTATGTTTACTTTTAAAATGACAGTCACAGAGATAAGTCATGTAGAGCTCACAGCCCAGTATGCCTCTCAAATATTTGTAATATTTATTTTTAATCATTTTCCCCTTATCCTATTTCTGGGTTGTTTTTCCCTCTATTACTCCTCTTCTTCATTTTGAAAGAGTAGATTTCATTGATTAAACTCACTCTGAATTACACTGTTTTCTGAGGCATCACCTTTTTGCTACTACCTGAAAATGTAATATGTTTACCCTCAAATTTTTTAATACTCAGAAAAAACTGATTATATAGATCATATATTTATATCTTTGGGGGTGCATATTAGTGAGAACTATTCTCTCTCTTTCCC